GCAGTTCATTTGCTGGCGTGTACCAGGCGCAGCTAAGTTGAACCAGTCGGCGTCTGTTGGCACATGTAAATCGCTACACACGGGAATGTGATTTTCACAAGACAATGAAACCTATAACCACACGATCTAGTGATGAAATGCTCTCTGCGTGTAAGCGTGGCAAGGAAGCTAGTAAACGTGACACTCTTAAAAACTGGTCTCTGTAGCTTTGATACGACCACACTTACATTGATACAGTCTTCACCACCGAAAATGCATCGTGCAGATCTGCCCACTTGAAAAGAGTGAAAGGCTGGCAATATTAATTATCGGGAATAAATACCTGGAAACTGCCACGTTACCAAGCTGGTAACGAATGTCAGTATAAATTTGAGGACATGAGGTTTGGTGAATACGGAATGAGTTTCGACAAAAGAAATCCAAGTGGGGGGTGTAAAGTAGTTGCCTTATAGCCTGACGCGGCGATGTATTTTCGGTTATGGGAGCCGTAGGCCGGACGATGAACAGGACAGCGCATGCGGCTGGCACGGTTGTGACAGTCTCTCCGTTGACTGCAGATGGACGCAGCTGGAAAGGTGTGTTGCCTTCTAACTTGACCAGAACTCACATTTTGCGGTCGGCTTCGGCAGCGTTCGTTCATTTAACGGCTATGGTCGTCGATTTTCATCCCCGCTGGTCTCAATGTACATGTCGTCTGAGGTCGTCGAATAAACCCTATTTGGTCTGTGTTTTTAGAAATTTTAATGTGTGTCGGTTCTGCTTTGAAACTTCAGGTCCAATACATCGAGACGAGTGCTAAGAATCCTCCGGTTAATGTCGACCTGACATTTCACAACATTGTGCGAATTATTCGGTAAGTCCGATTCGATTTTACTTACGAACCTTGCCCTCACTCCATCATCCCTCTCGCTGCCTTCCGTCCTCAGTTGTTCTTGTGTAACTGATGTGCTGATGCTGTCTACTTTTTAAAAATCGAAATGCCTTTCAAGGCCTTATCGTGGACACAGGCTTCCTCGGAATGCTGCACACTCGCCAGCCTAGTGCCTATCGAACGTCTTAGTTGTCAGTCAGTTGATAAGCTGCGTTCAGAGTTCTTATCGTCATTCTCGAATAGAAACTGGAGATAAGAGTGAATTTACTTCTGTTGTCTTTGCTATTCTCCAAGCTAGTTTCTTTTTCGCAGTTTTAAATTTCATAGAAATTTTGCAGTCGTCATTAGAGGTGATTATAAACCACATTTAAAATCCACAAAAAGGACTCGTGGCTGCCCGTAAATGGCTCAGGTCGACTTATAGAAGAAAGTCGCCATCTTGCACACCGCCTGCTGGGCATAAAGAGATGTAGTTGTATTGGGGACGTCATTACCTCCGTATCACCACTCTTTGTAACTTCTCTATTCCACTGACATCATCAATCCCCCTTGTTTTGCGTCTTGGAAATGCTTGTAGTTCATTTTATCCGTTAGCTTATACCTGGCTTTTGTCCCCAGAAAACACCAATCCAATGCTCCTCCCGTCTCCCGCAAACAGCAACCGAAGAAGATGAAATGCAACGTGCTCTAGAAACTAGTACGTGACTGCTCTCGTCTCACCTTACCGAATTTCACCTCAAGGAACCGTCCACTCTGTCCGCTTACCCGTGCCTCTTGTGGGTGTATGCGTCGATCGAAGACAAACCCGGTGATCGTGCACGCACACGCATGCTGGTGTCGCCTTCCCCGGTCACTGCACAGTGTGTACCGCATACATTTTTTTCTTCCTCTCTCATGCTATCCCCTGACCATGGCCTCTTTGATCCCCATCCGCCTTCAATGACATGAGTATCGATCAGCTGCCACACCCCCATGTGCGAATAGCTCATTCATGTTGAATGTACATACCTTCCTCCCCTAACCCCTAAGCCTCCTGCTTTCGAAACCTAATTTATTTCTATGATTTTTAAGCGGTAAAGTTTGGAGATGCAGAGATTGATTCAGCTGCCAGTAATGCTAGAATACTCCTGGTCCTGTGTGCTGTCTTTGCCGTTTTAACGACTTCTGTTTGACTTTTATGAGCTCTTGTGAGTTTGTGTGTGTGTTATTCGGCGGCTTAAACACAAGCGTGGAGTTTAGCCTCGGTTGCCTTCACCAGTATTGTTTCGGCCGTGCTGACCACGCTTTTTCGATAACGACTGTCTGCTTTGTGATGAAGGTTAAGTGTGCATGTCTGCATCTGTTCAGGATATGTGGACCTGGTGAACATGTCCCTGGACAGAGAGCCAGACTTTTAAACCGGTCTGTTAGCTTCCCTGTTCTTTTATCCAATTTACTCTGGTGGTTGATCTGGGACTACTTTCTGATTTAAATCCCCTTTTTGTTTTCTAAGATGCAGACAATCCTTCCTAGTCTTCTACTCCCTCTGATTATTCCCCACTGTATATATATGCTTTTGTCAGTTTCCACCCCCATCTGGAATGGTACGACCTACCTCCAACAGTTCTACCAATGGACATTTGTGGAGTTACTCTTGTTACATGAGTAATACGTATTTATTACTGTTCGGTCGCCTGGACAGTCAAGGGTCTCCAGATTTTATCCCGTTGCACCAGTGTTACGCCAAATTTTTTTAGCTCGCAGCACTAATTAAAATTCCATAAGTAACTGACCCCATCACTTTATGCCATCTTAACGTTAACCACAAATTACTGCCGAACGGTATCAGTCGGTACGTACGTACCTGAGGCACTACCGCTTGGGCCCATATTTTGCTGTTCTCACTGGGGTACCAGATAACATTCAATTATCAAGCCTGTAGAACCAAACTAGGCCTACCTCTGCCAGCAATACCGCAAGTAGATCAACTGAGGTCCACTGGTGAAAGGTTAACGTAGAGAGATTTAATCTTCCAAAAGACGGCCGTTTAGTTCGGATAAGGGGACTATCGAGGGGCGTAGGGGTAGTGCCCGTGGGTAAGCATGATTAGACGGTCAGTAAGGACTCATTGTCAGACGTCGATAGGTCCAGAAAGATGAATGCTAGGATCTAGGCCGACGGACATGTATCTAACTGCCTAAGCCGACTTGAGAGCACTGGTTTCATGGTTATCTGTGACTTCTAATGACCAGAACTGGTCGGCAAGCATACTCCTTAGCGATAATTTCATGAGTGCTACCCATTTACGGTGTTCGAAACCATCGAAATCTCTAGATGTCGGACTGTTAAATTGAACCGATTCAGCACGTCAGAACTGTCAAGATGTGTGTGGAGGCTGTCGGCCTTGACGGAACAACTGCTCTCAGTGGATGCCACACTCGGTCCTTGAGTGAAGTTTCCAACTATTTCGGCGACCTAGTTCATGATAAGTACGGTAGATTTCGTATACCCACTAAACATGCCCAAGAGATTATTAGTATTACGTACGCCTGACGTGCACCTACAGCGGGTAGAATGGCTAGGGATTCGAGGCTGCGTACACTTGATATCCAAGTGGCCGAGGGAAGCCAGGCGGATATTTGGCAACAAACTTACATAAGCATTGTGGGACTTCGATGGGGTTCAGTCAAGTGTCAAAATAAAGTGCAAGCGCTGCCTGAGTGGTACCACGCTCACCATACGACGGTTATATGGTCACGGGGATCGACTTCCGTCTTATGGAATCAGTTGATTCATTCAAGGCTCTGAAGATTTTTGCGCCTCCACTGTCGCGGACGAGGGCAGGCGTGCAGCTGGCCGCTTGTTTAAATCAAATCCCCTGAGAATGTCAACTGTCATTTATCTGTTCGCGCAGCGCCTCAGGCGGCTGTCGAAAGGAGTCATAGGCGGACTGGCATGTTTCCTGAAGTAGGCGCGAGACCCAGCCATCTGGCTTGCCCAAGATCCTAACGCGGCGGCGGACGAAGTTGCGCCTTGGGAAAGGCAAATGAGTGGACTGTACAAACCCCAGTAAATGACTGCAGTTGGCGCAGTCCTTACCTCCTTTCACTGACCTGCTGATAAGTCGCTGGACATATGCGCCCGTCAACCGTTCGTGAGCATGCGCAAGGCGGAGCAGTTCCGTCCTACAGGGAGGTTCGATTTGTAAACGTAGACCTCACGCGACCTGGGGAATTTTCGACTGCATCTGACAGACGCTGGGTTGGTGTCCTGTGGGACGTTTGGCTCGATAACAAACCGGACTCCTTCGAACCACGGCCCTTCCCAGGTCTGCCTTTGGAGTATGGCTGACTGGCGATTGCGAACGAGCCAGGAATTGTCCGTCCTCTCCCGTTGTGTGACAAACGGTTACACTCTCAGGTATCACTGCTCAGAGGACGTCCCAAACTCGAGGACCCAAGGCTGTTAAGCTAAACGCCCCTGCCCTGTCTAACGTCACCAAATATGCCTATATTCCTGGTTTGTTGTCATGGTGGTAACGCCAACTAGGAAAGTTGACCCTGCCGATGACTCATTCTACCACATCGTCCGTCGGGTGCCGCGTACTATCAGAGTTCACCGCGATATCGTGTGCTCGCAGGCATGTAGGCGACGAAAATCGGACTATGCAAAACGGTCCCACACGCAAAGAAATTCGTGCGGACTACAATTTCCATAGTTCAAAATTAATTACCTTGAACGTCCCTCTGCAAACTGGAATAAGGCAGATGCCCGCAATCATTCCTAGTCAAATTACCCATTCTGCCCTGACCCCTCCGCTACACGAGGCATAGGAAACCGACCAAAAGGGCCTTAGGGCCTTGCCTAAAAGCGTAGCGCGAGAGGAGGGAGCTAAGACGTATGTGGACCCAACGTGTTTTTATGGAATGCCGTTGAGAAGACAATGCAAATGACCGGACGTACATAGAGGGGACAGAGATTAATGAGGCAGTGATAGATTGAGTTATGAGGCTTTGTCTTTGCTAAAGAAATTCAGGTAGAGTATAAAATAAGACGAGCAAACGGGGCGGTAAGGATAAACACGAATTAACAAAATAGATGTTGGGGATATGCTGCTTGGAGCAGGGACAAGAGAAAGGCGACAGTGTACCTAAGGAATTAGACGTTCGTTGCAGAGGCAGAGCACCTTCTTTGCAAGGCTTTCATTAATTTCTTCAACGTCCTTGACCAGTATAATAAAACCCTCAGCCGCACAGTTGTCAATGACGTTGCGCCATGCGGAAGCAATCGCAATCAGGTGGGGATCTACAGAGTCCTCCTCGGGAGTTGCGTCCTCACAGAGAATTGCTATAGTAATCGGTGACGGACCACAAGTTGCCCGCTGGATGTCTGTCGCGGAGTTGGTGCGCATCTGGAGGGCAGGCAAAAGAAAAAACAAAACTGCTCATGGGGAGTGAGCATGAGCGTAGTCACCTCAAAGCAAACTCGAAAGCCGCAGCAGTCTTCGCCAGAATCGAGCACGTCTAACGGTATACCCACTACAGGCACACCTGTTCGATCTTAAATATGAATCTGTGGCCAGAGTCTACGGGATGTGGACGTGTCTTAAAACCGATCCTTGTGAGCATGGGAAAATCGCATTCAGGATGTCCGAACCATGTCAACGATCGGCGTGATGGAGCGCGTCTTGTTTAGAAGAAAGGCAAAAGGTCTAACTGTGAGATAAAAAAAACCCTTAGGTTTGATTTGACTTCCTTGCAAAAAAAGACGCCGGTTCTCCTAGTGTCGGGCTAAAACATAAAGAAACAGCACAGTCTCGTGGCGTGTCTTTGATATTGTTACACACAGTATGTCGAATAGTTTGTTTTGGCGAAAATGTCGGCATTCTCCACATTAGAGGGTAAAGTGATGACATCAAGTGTGAGCAAGAACTTGTCGCAAAATTGTTTGATATGACATAAAGTGGTAAGACTGGCCAGAAGATGGCCACTCATATTCTGGTGTCACCGACTGCAATTAAAAAGACGTAGGATTTGCATCTTAAGATAGGCTTTCAACACGTTTATTCGTGTTATTATTTTATGCTTGTTGAATAACTTTAGGTTGGCCTTTCGACGGTAAGTTCGACTGGCACAATATACACACGTGGATGGCAGGCCCCGGAGACTCTAATATGGGCTACGACCGGGGTCCAAAGGTGAACAGATCACTGTATCAATTTGTCGACCTTTTAACTACTGCCTCGTCTGCTGGGCCGTATATATTCTGCAGTCGTCTTGCTGAAACACCAACAGTCCTCTGCTGTACTGTACCACAAAGAATAACTGGTGGATAAAAAGTGTGTGAATATACTGCCAGTTCACGTCCACACGATCGTCTGGTACAGGCACCCAGTCTCGTGAAAATCGTGCTAATGGTAGTTTTAACCGCCTAGACAATCAGAATTGAATTTCTTTTCGTCAGAGGGAGGCATCACGCGCCAGTGATCTGTCTAGATGGCCGAACCCACTCGTTCTTCTTTATAGTACTTAGTCAACGGCGGCATTCGTTGAGGCTTCCGTTTCATGGTCCCATGGAGTGTGGCCTTTTAAATTAGCGTCAAATCTTGTTTAAGTGAGCATGCTACTTCTTACAGAAATCCCAGATAACGCTGCATTCTTCACCTGCGGTGTATATTTAATCCCTTTTCTGGCGCGTTTCTTTATACTAGAGGTTGGTGCCGGCTGCACCTCCCGGAGCGGGCGTCCAAAGACAGAGCGACGCGAAACAGGCATCGCCGTTGCTATCCGGAACGACATCGTAGGACAACTGCCCTGTCTGTAGCAGGGTATGAACGACCGCCTCATGCGTCCCCGGGGAACCAACCTCGCTTCCATCATCAGCGTCTACGCCTCCCTCCCAGTGAGCAGCACCGACGAGACAATGAACAGATCCTACGTGGACATGCACGCCATCCTAGCCACTGTGCCGAAGGCGGACAAGCTGACTGTCCGTAGTGACTTTAATGTCGGCGTCGGCACAGACCACGCTGACTGGGCGGAGGAGCGACCATGGCCTCCTGCGAACCTGCGCAGAACACCACCACTCTTCACCAACACCCTATTCCTCCTTCCGACGCGGGTGAGAGCAGTCTGGATGAGCCCCCGACTGATGCGCTAGGGGTTACTGGACTAAGTTCTCGTCCGGAGGCGAGATAGACAGAAAGTGCTGTTGAAAAAGGCGATTTGCGACGCCGATGGCTGGACAGGCCACCGCCGAACGCACCGGCAAGCTAAATCCTCTTCTGTTGAATTTGACTGCTCACCGCATAGATTTCGGCGACTAGGAAGCCTGCAGCCTCTGGACAATAACACCACCGTGGGGACACGGTGTCAACTGTGGAACGTCATTCACTCCACCACCCTGGACGTCCTCGGTCGTGCTCGCCGTCAATACCAGAACTGGTTTGACGACGACGCGGATATCAGCAATGTACTTACCGAAAAGAACAGACTGTACGAAGCCTACATCGACCAGCTCCCCAAAGTAGGAACAAACAATGACCTAGACTTCCCGCCCTTCAGAAACCACGAGTCATGCAACAGCTCTCCAGCGGGAAGGCAAATGAACCCGATAATCACGGAAGCATTCCGCTATTCAACATTGCGGTAAAAATCTCCGCATCCCTATTAATCGTCTCAACGGCCATCTGGAACACAACTTTTTTCGGAAAGCCGTTGTGGCTTCTGACGACACCGTTGAACACCCGACATTATCTTCGCCGTCCGTCAACTACAACAGAGGTGCCAGGAGATGCGAACTCACCTCTGCATTACTTTCGGGAACCTGACGAAAGTCTTCGACACGATTCTGGAAAATCATGCAGAAATCCGGCTGCCCTAAACGATTTACGCACATGGTGCGTTAGCACCACGAAGGGGTGATGGCGCCCGTCAGGGACAATCAGACAGCCTCATGAGCATTCGCAATGGCCAATGGACTGGAGCAGGACTGCGTACTTGCCTCCACCTCTTTCGGTCCCATGTCCTCTGCCATGTTGATGGGCGCTTACCGTCATGAGCGCCCTGGGATCAGCATCGTCTACGGGATCGACAGCCAACCTTTCAATAACCCGACGCATGCGGGCCCCAACGCGTCTATACACGAATACTGTCCACGATCCGCTCTTGGTGGGCGACTGCGCGCTCTACACCAGGACAGAACCGGACATGCAACGAGACACAAACTTCCTCGCCTCCGGTTGCGCAAAATTAGGAGTGAAAAAGTGGCGACCATAAATCAGCCGTCACCCAACACTGAATACAACGCCTCTTGCATCACTGTCAATGGCACCCAACTCAAAACGTTGGACAGTTTCGCCTATTTAGGCGGTAAACTTTTACGCAGCATTGAAATAGGCCTTTAAAGCCCGCCAGGATTTCGGGCGGCCGCATGCCTCCGTCTGGAACCACAATTGACTTCGACTGGACACGAAGCTCAAAATTTACGTGGAGGGAGTTCTGACAGCACCACTACACGGAGGCAGAAACACAGTTCATCTACGCCAGTCGAGCCAGGAAACTCAATCAGTTAAACCTCAGCTGTCTCCCGAGAATACTAAAGATGAGGTAGCAGAACGTGGTCCCAAACAAGGAAGTCTTGGAACTGGCCGGAATCCTCAGCATCCACGCCATGTTGAGACGACTACAACCGCGACGGAACGCGCACCTAGTGAGGATGGACGACGAGCGCCCACCCAAGCGACTCTTCTACGGCGGTGTCGCTACAGGTGTTCACCGACAAGGTGGTCAAAACGATGCTACAAGGACAGTCGGTGGACATTCCTCAAGAATGCACAAATCAATCAAGCGACTTGGGCGGATCCAGCCAAGGACCGACCGGCCTGGGTAGGAGTAGAGAAGATCGGAGCTGTCTTCTACGAAGCCAACCGGATCGATGCTGCCAAAGCCAAAAGAGCAGCGGGCAAGTCCACGTCCGCATCCAGCACGAAATCCGACTTGGTTGGGCCTCGTCCTAGAGTCGTTGGAAACGGCGGTTGAATTGTCAGCTTTCGGTATTCGTTAAAGACGAAGAATGACTGCAGTTCGTGAAGTTTGGGAACAGATCGACTTGTGAATGCTATATGTCTGGTTGTCGTCACCCTTCTGGCAATTAGTGACAAATAATTTAATCTGAGCACAAAGTAACGCTTACATTGCGTTAGAATCTCATTTCGGATGCGCAGAAACGCTCGAAGACTACGCGACATTTTAATCGTAGGAGAGCTATCTTCTGGGCATTATTATACACTGATATCATATTAAACCATTCTGGGATTAAACCTTGTCCTAATTAGACGTCGTCACTTTTTGCGCTCTCCTAAAAGCGGACCAATCAACAGAAAATTGCCGAAGCTTTAAGCAAAAAATAAGTGGCCCTATAGTTGCTGGACAGGCCGTGTTCCCTTTTCCCCTCGCAACCGATGAAAAAGTTGTACAGCCTGAGAAATGGCAATTCATGTATTTACAGCTGTGCACAGTGCACGCATACAATGGGGGGCGGTTAGCTTTGAGTCAACTGGCATTGAGCTGTCGTCTTTGACACACGACATGTATTGTAATAAGACCTTCCTACTATTTACTCTGTTACGTTAGTAGTGACCAGCCCGAACTCCATGAGCTCAGTATTTACGTCTTGGACTGGCGTTGCCCACCAAGAGGGATCTAAAAGGTTAATTAAAAACCCTGCTCGTTATAGTTCGTCAATACATGCAAGTGGTTCGATATTCGGTCTCCGTCGCTGAAGGATTGAACGGACCGAGCCTTCCAAATTTGCTGTCGCAGATCGCCAGGCAATTCGTGACATCATTGAGGCCGGTTGGACCAGGTATCAAGCACAGGTGCAATGCCTTAAAGCATTGTGGGTATCTCAGAGAAAAGGCGTGGATCCGAACATTGAGCATATCGATATTACCCGTCACTAATGTCCCCACATTGATTCTGCCGCTCGCTGATCAATTACCTACACACGGGCCAAGTTAAAACAAGCGACACCAGTGTGGGCAGCACGATATTGTTTCCGAGACACTGTCACATCACTCAATACGATTTTAGTCGGCTTAAATAATGCACGACGCCAGAGCTAGGGGGTAATAGGGCCAAACTCGTGAGACCACTATTTCTTAGAGTGGGTCTCGCGTGTTTTCGAGCTGTCACAGCATTCTCAAGGTAACGGTCTGGAGGGTTGCGAACTGACGAAAAAATCGGCCCCGTGACAGATTCAGGTTGCGTTGGCCTTATGGCTGTGGTCTGTGTGAGTTAAGTTGGGTTCGCATCGGTAGAGGGACCAGTATGTCTGCGGCACGCGGGGGATGAGGGGCGAACGCTCGGTTAACGGCTATACCCTTCGATACAAGCAAAAAGGCCAGTCCCAGGAGGCTGCTTGAAAGTAGATGTGATTGCGCGAACAAGAGCTTTATTCGCCCGAAGTCTTGGTTTCATTAGATACGGACGCTGTCTCCAATGATGCATTCAAGCATGGACCCGAAATATCAGATAAATAAGGCTCTTGTTGCAGTGATCGCATCTATCTCTCAGCTGCATACTCGCCCATCTCCAGTCGCTCTGGCGCAGTTTGGCCACTAGGACACGATGCAAGAACGGGGCAGTGAATGAGGTCGAGTCTGTGACAGTCACCACCGCCTTCCGGGGTAGCGCTGGTCCTCGTCGACTACGCCACAGGACGAATTATCAGTGTTCCTACACCTATTGAAAGCCGGGCTGAGTCACCTACAATTCAAAAAGAAGATTGAACTTAAGCATTACTTGAGGTGCTCATCAGATGAACGACAGCGAGAGTCACTACGCCCCAAAGGCTCTGTGTTGATTGCGATGAGGAGGAGGGCGCGGGGGGATTAAGGTGTGGGCACATTCACTAGGGCCTGTCAATACATTAAGCAGTATGAAACTAGCAAAGACTGTTGAATGATATTGTGGACACCAGGCTGTGATTGTTTGCATAAAACCTTTCCCTTGCACTCACCATCCTCCTTCCATATCTATTTTTTCCAATGACCTACATCTTTTCTTACCCTTAACAAATACAGTGAGTGAAATGTTAGCCGATACTCTGAAATGCGTCTTCGATTAGGAAGGATTATCTGGGTGAAGTTGTAACATTGATTACCATGCGGCCTAATCCTCTGATATTTTCGATTTGCCAAGATGTTGGCGTTTGAGTGGACTTCTTTTCGACCTCCTGTAAAAATTGCCCTCGGCAGAAATGGCTACTAAAACTCTTACCAATTTAATAGGAAATCACACTGTCTTTACATTTTGAAATCGAAGGAAAGGTATGTTTAGGTTTTGAAAAAGTGTTCCTATTCCCGAACAAATTTCGGCCAGATCAACCGCAGCATTAACGTTTGGAGATTTCATTCCAAAGAGTGCACACTTCTCGCGTGGGGAATATCACTTATTCCTGGATGGCTTTAAGAAGGCACCATGTTGAGTTCATACAATTTAGCAATGGATGCAGGCTTTGCTGTATACTTCATGAGGAGCATTAATATGCGGACAGGTATGATGCTGTATGAATGGACATCGCATGGTCTTAAAAAACCTCATAATAAGATACTTTTTAAAACCAAAAATTACCCCTTCCTACTAAATTAGCAAAAGAAAGCATGGGTTCGTGCATGTGCTCTATGAAATATATATGGATTTATTAGGGCATCGAAAACAAGTGTGAAAAATGCATACTATTTAAGTGGCCAGTTTTGCCGAGTGCAGTTTTTACAGGGGGTAAAAAAGAAGCGCACTCAAAGCCAACATCCTGGCAAGTCCGAAATATCAGAGGATTAGGCCACATGGTAATCAGTGTTACAACCCCACCCAAGTAATCCTTCTTATTCGAAAACGCATTTCAGAATTGCTGTTTACATTTCATGAGATCGGTCACTCACTGTAAATTGAAAATGTAACATGCGATCAGAAGCAGGAGTTTATCAACAAAAGTCGAGAACCACGTTAAAAGCAGAGTCGAACCTACTATCCGTGTTGTTTGACCCTACCAAAACATACACAGTAGAGGGTCGGTCTGCCGTCGACGTAAACAGGCACGAGAGACCATGTGTGTGAACATGAACCCGACCCAATTCTAAAGGTCGGTCGTACCGCGCCAAATTTTAGTTGCTGGAAGTTGCAAGCAAATATCGCTGGGTCTTCGAAATGGTCAGGTATAGCGTCCGTCGGCATCATATACTTCAATTCTCCTCCGCGTCTGCTCCGCTCCTGCGTTCCCTTCGAATAGGACCATTACACGCGAAGAAGGCGACACGATCGCTGGATCGCCAGGCATTTCGGGTTTCCACTTATCATAGACAATGCCAGGTTGGGGTATTGCTGTACTTATAGGATGTAGATGCTAGGCTACTGCACGCCTGTCACAAGTGACAGCTCTCCACTTCATCATGGTCCGACTGGCTGGGTGTTGCAGGATGCCGTTGCTATGCGATTGCGATCCCGTCAGAATTATCGGCTCCCAGGCTCATCACACGTAGTCGAGTTACTAACTGTCGGAGTTTCGCCATCCGTGTGCACTCGGGCAATTTGGTTCGCCGACATTGACACCAGGAACAGTGGTCATCTGCACGCTTTTCAAGTGGCTAATTACTTCGCCTGGGCAGTCTCAACGATCGTGTTACCTTCTTTGCGACTACTTTCTTTTATGCATAACGTAGCATCGCAGTCCGGCAAACGGATGCCACTGGCCTAACTTACTCCCATTCAGACCTAGTGCAACGTAACAGAGATTAACATATACGTATGGCAGTCGGCCTCATTATCTCCTTAAATTCATCCGACCCCCGTGTCAACCAATTCAAGGCGACTGAAGGACGGACTGGACGCATCACGCACTGTATCTGACTTGGCGCGCCAAGCATGTTGGCGCCTCTCATCAATCCGGGCACACGTCACGCAGTAAGGCCCTTACATATGTGTGGAATTGCCAGTAAAGGTAGGTAGTCTGCTGGAGCAAGTAGCCAGAAAACTGGAAACCTCCCAGTTTGATTGCATAATGAGGAAAGTCGGTAAATAATCAACATCACTCCGATCATGTCTCATGGCCAAGCTGCTTTAGAAACACAAGGGGATGAGATTTGACGTAATGGTTAGTCCCGCATATTACCGACTTACCCGGCTTCACTGGAACAGGCCGTCTGTTGCTAAACCTAAGTCCGGTCACGAGTTTGACAATACGGTCTAACCCATTGTTGGGACCAAGTGCACAATTTATATTGACCTAACTGTGAAAAACTCGGCGCCTCGGTGGGATTTGGACCCACGCAGTAAGAGGAAGGCTTTAGTACAGCCAACGCTCTAACCACTTGTGCTACGAGGCCTCGTAGAGCGTGGGCTGTACTAAAGCCTTGTCCCTTACTGCGTGCGTTCAAATCCCACCGAGGCGCCGAGTTTTTCACAGTTGGGTCAATATGAATTATTCAAAAGCTGCCAAAATATCTACGGACCAAATACATACACACTGCATGCAGAATTGCTGCACAAACCCCGCTTCCCGAAAATCATTACAGTGGTATAGGCGGATACTAGCAAAAACGTACCCAAACTCCATCATTAATGCTTAGCTTGTCGGTATCTGCATCCAGGAGGCGACCGTGGGTGAAGAATTCTACCCAATTCTCTAACACACCCAAAGTAACCACCGAGAGGTTAGACTGGGTGTCGTGGCGATTGCTTTCCACCCAGGAACGGCAGATCTCAAGGGCCACGTTTAGGGCAGATGTCAGTGAGGGCGGGGTGGTGATGAAGAGGTCCTGCTGAGCAGAGCTGACAGGGGCGCCCATACGGAAATGTAGGCTCAAACCGTCACCTTTAAGTGGTGTCGCCAATGGCAATTCTGACGTCGAACTGTTGTCGGCGGAGAAGAGTCCAGATGACAGGCGACTAACTTCCACCTGCTGTGGGCGGAGAGTTTCGTAGGCGCGCTTAAGACGCAGGATAGGCTGCCAGGCTCGTACGTAGGCCGTCTCACCGGTCTCGTCATTGGCTGTGGAAGACAGGCGTTCAGGCTGAAATGTGCATGGAGTTGTCAAAGGCTTGAGTGAAATCAAAACACAAGTGGCGCCTTCGAAAGACTGTCATGGTCTGCCCAAAGGGCGAAAAAAAGCACAGACAGCAGTCCGGCAGTAACAGCAAAGTTGCTCGCAGACCAGCTTATGGCTGGTCAATATACCAGGCAAGTTTTGAATATAAGCTTAAAGGTGGGACCATAACGGCAGTAGAAGCCTTTTCAGGCGGACAATGGAACATAAGTACCACCGTTACACTGTTAGCAGCCCAAGGCCTGTACATGAGCAATACGCTCATGAAGACTAACCAAAATGATGCAAAACCAGCACTGAGACATTGGTGCGCAATAAAAACCAGAAATGTGCTTGTTTAGAAAAAACAAGCGGAAATTATTGTCGACATAGACGGTACACGGCATAGGATAATTCAAACTCTTTTACCGCCACTAGTTAATGATGTCTCAACCTGTCTGCCGAGTGCAGAGTCCACATAGATTACTAAAGATCCCATCAGGCCTAATATCAATGGCCGCATACCGACAAACACTACCCAATTGATGGATTACATGCGAGTTGCGCGAATAGGGACCGATGTCGGGATATAAGGAACTATGCTAACAAATTCGATTAGCCAGAGTCGGCAGGAACCGATATCAGTATAGCATAGGTGCAAGATGAAGAAGAGCCTTGTTCGCCAACGAAATGAAAAAGCCCTATAGGCCTATTAGCATGCGTCCAAGGACGACTCAGCGGTTGAACGGACGGCCAACATAAAGTCTGGTATCTCAATCCCTTTATTGATCGAGTTATCAACACACTCTCGAAAAGGTTCTATTGTGATCCACTACTAAATAAAAACGAGCCATCAACAAAACTTTGCAAGACCTGCTCTGTTTTGCTTCATAGCGATTCATGAAGAAAGTGTAGACATCTTGAGCTTGTCTAAGAGGTCTGGGACAGTACGATCTTGCAAGGTAAACGAGCAGAATGTCCCCGATAAAGAGGTGACAACCGAATTGTAAATTCGACACCTTGTTACTGATGTCCTGTGACGTTTCCGCATTTCACCGGATGCGCGATAAAGGGGACATGTGGATCATTTTCGCACGGCGGAAAGTCTGCATTGGTTGATCACCTACCTTCCGGTAAAATGCGCAACATATTTCTCAGCGAATTATCGTTCGATTTTGCGCTTTGTTAATGCGTTAAATTCCGTCAGTTTAAAGTCGTCGATAAAGTCCCAGAAAATAATGTTACTCTCACGAATTTAACTAGTTCTGTTGTGGACAAATCAGCGACAATGGGGGTTTGCAAGTTTAAAAGTACGTAACGGGCTACGGGGGTAGTGCAGTTTGTGATTAAATGAAACAATCAATGAAAAGCTCACTAAAGAGGAGGTAAATAATTTTCTGAAATGCAAAATTAAATGGGATGATACTTAGACAGATCGAAGGATAAAGGTGAAGCAAATAAAAGAAAAAGTGCAACCAACGGACTAGCAAAGAACGTACATCTGGGAGGCAGTTCCACCAAAGAGACTTCTGAGGTAAGGGAGACAATGGCGTGCCTGAAAGCCTTTGACTTTTTTTGGTCTCCGCAAAATGAAGGACGCTCACTTTGGCGGAGGAACCAGTAAACACTTCTGCCAGCCTTTTCACGCACTCACGCATTCGTCTTTCATTAGACACCGTCAAAAAGAGGGAAGAAGGTACGACGTCAATGTAGGCAACCTTCGCATGCGACCTCCCTAGGACTTCACCATGGCGTAAAAGGTGGGAACTCCTGGAGCCGGCTCGTTGAACGCATTCTGCGCCGAGGGCACTTGACATGACTCTCTACCTGTGACGATTAAAGTAGTGTAAGTAAACAAAGAGATTAATTTCCAGTCAGAAAATTCCATTCTATGATAAACGAGAAGGTGCATGAACGACGAACAGGTTTGGTTTTCCTTCAGTCTGTATTGGAACAGCCAATGGCAACTGTCAGATGTGGTGGCTGGATGAGAATATACAGAGAATATGCCACTCCCCTGTGGACTAAAGACGGACTGGAAGTCCAAGCCAGCAATTCAACTCTAGCTCGGCTTTTCCTATTTTTAACGGACTGCTTACTTTCTCCGTCCGACTTGGAAACGAACGGTGTTCAACGTAGACAAACGTTAGGTAAGGATAAACGATGAAAGAAGGAACATAGAAGTTGTGCCAAATCGTAAACTGTCCAAACTAAATTTGGTGGCTCGGAAAGGTCATGAGGACGATGTCAACCATGTGCCCACAGCAAGGTGGAGCAGGGACGGTGACTTGCGAGTGAAATAGTTTATAGTGATAGCAGACTGGCGCTGCATCTACCGCACTCTCTCCCCCTCCCCCACCGGGCGCGGTGTCAAGACATAGTCAAGAAGACCGGAGGCGGAGGAGGGAGTAGATGGATAGCACGGTCGAGCCCGCACCTTGGCGCTCCACTCCACACCCCCAGGTCCGCACAGCAACTGACCAGGTTTTCTTTTCTAACCAACAACAACAATGGGGGAGGGCTGGCGCGGCCGAAGCCGCACCTAGGCGTGTTATCACACCAGTTCGGATCTTGCGGAGTGGGTGCCATAATGGCCACATTAACAAGGAGCCATTGTTGCCTGGCTCTTAGACCACCAGCCGGCCACTCCACACAACATCGGGCCGACTGCGCTGTCCAAGTTATCCCGTCAATTGGCAGCGTTCCAAGCCACAGCTTTTAGCGCACCGTGATAGCTTCAAGTGCGTCAGATTGCTTATAGTGAGGAAAATGAGCTGAGTCATTGACATCACTTTCGCTTCCTATTGCCAGGTCCCTGCCACTGTCTGAGTCATTTAGTTGACAAGTGCGAGGAATGGGCGCGGTGGCTGACATATATGATGACCTTGTCTGCGCGCGCCACATACAGGAACTGTCTCCCTTAACACAAGCACTAGAATTTCACACAACAGGTGTTGAGCAGCGTACATTTCACACGCGTGAGAGTACCAGAGGTCACGTTAAGAAGGAACTGTTTCAGCCTGTCACTCAGACCACCAATCCGCCAATCCACACAAACACACACATAACTGGACAGACTTCATGGCCTGAGTTGGGGCGCCAGTCAGCAGCCCTCCAAGCCACAGCGCTTGACGCGCCATGATAGTCTCAGACTCGAGTCACATGTGCGACAAAGGAACCGCATGGAGACGGCGTCGAGACGCACACTTTTCACTTGCGCGCAGGAGGTGGCAGTTGGATGCTTGTGGTAGGTGATGATGCTGTGTGATGCAGGTGTTGGCGGGGGAAGGTGTGGTGGTGCGGTGTCACCGGGTGTAGGTTGGGGCTCCAGGCACTGGTTCGACAGTCTCTGTGGGATGGATTCGAAAGTGACCGACCAGGCCGATGTGTTAGGTTAGTGTACGAGAGCGGTATGGATAGTAGAGGTCGGGGGTGTTGGTTACGGAGATGGTGTCAGTCGTGGGGCGGCTGGTTGTGGCCGTGTTGGATGGCGGGGTTTGCGTTGAGCCAGGCATAGTGGATGTGCAAGAAGTGATGGGTGTATCGAGACTGTGGTCAGTCTCGTCGTCATGGATATGTATGTTACCGATTAGGCCCATGCCATAGGAGCAATCGGGTGTAAGATGTCGTATTCCGTGTGTAAACTGTCCCCGTAACTACACAGGTCAGACTAAGGACACACTCGGACCGCGCACACGCAGACATAAGCTGGCTGTGCGGCGGACGACGAATAGTCCGAAGTGGCTGGCCAGCCGCAATTGCGAAACGGGTCGTAGAGTAAACTCCGCTGCCACGAGAACAATTGCCCTCTTGGAAAAGACTGACCGAGACTTGATTGGAGTCTGGGTCTCGGATGAGAGCCCAATCAATCAATGTGGCGTCCGGGCCGGGCCATGGCGGTCATCTCCAGACCTGTGCCACTGATTGATAATTGGCTAATGCTTCCATTACCATCGCTCCTATTATCACTGACGATGGACTCCTGCACGAGATACAAAACTGGGAAAAACAAACAAATGGTCCCGGTGACCAATGAGTCTTAATCCTTACTCAAACAGATTTGTAAAACTATTCAGACAAATTTTCATAAGACATTCCGATATTATAAACCGGCACTCTAGCGAAATAAAAATCAAAGGATTGGAAAGAGATAGTGAGATCAGAACAGCAATTGCCTGCGTAAAACAGTGACTTGAATTCAAACGGAAACGGTAAACATAACGGCCGTTATGTTCGAACTAAGTCGAAAGGGCGCGCGTGCAGCCTAAAACTAAACAAGTTGGTTCTGCGCCTACGCCAGATTACCAAATATCCGATATAATAAAACAAGTTCCCGTATCCCTATTCCGAGCAGAACACACAACTTTTTCAAGTTCACCAGACTGCATGTTACGAGAACAGTTAGGCAACGTTGAAAAAAGGTCCTTAAAAGGTAAAATCGATATATCAGAGCACTCACGTCCCCGACCGCTCAAGATTGTGTTAGCCAACCAAGAACAAGTAGGACTGATTCTCTCACGACGTTTCCGAATCAAAGACACCAACCGCGGCGTTTTTTTTCAGCCGGACTACACACCGGCAGAGAGAATAAAACGTCGACAATTAGTTCTGGAACTGAGAACAAGGTTGCAGAATGGCGAGACGGATCTTGTGATCTACAACAACCAGATAGTGCAGCGCCCTCCCCTAATCCATTGGATCGAACCGATCCGGATGAGGGCACAGTAGCTTCCTTAAATGGGATCACAAGCGGCACCATAATCAAACGCCCCAAAACTCTGAAACTAACATTTTTTTACACCAACGTGCAGAGTATATTGCCCAAGTTAGACGAACTGAAGATCCACATCTGTGACCTTTCCCCTGACATTGTCTCTTTGACAGAAACCTGGCTGTCTGAAAACGTGGATGACCGCGAATTAATGCTACCAGGATTTCATTTGTTTCGAAGAGACAGGAGAGAGCGTCAGGGAGGAGGAGTCGTCACGTACGTAAAACACAGCCTGCTTGTGTCAGAAAAAACAGAACAGTTTGCCTGCAGCCCCGAGACTATCTGGCTCACTATAAGGGTACCAGGATCACATAGCCTTGAAGTTCTGACCGTCTATCGACCACCGAGGAGTGACCCCGAGGCTGACGCTCGTCTGTTAGAGGAGCTAGGACGATTTGCTCTCCGGCCTGACGTCCTAATCATGGGCGACTTTAATGCACCGCTCATTGATTGGAGTTCACTATACGCGCGCGGCCCAGAACTAGCTTTCGACCGACGCTTCTTGGACATGGCACTCAGGTCATTTCTCACACAGCACGTCCTATTTCCCACGAGGGTCCGTGAGGGGCAGCAGTCAAACTGCTTGGACCTGGTGCTCACGAAATCGATGGACAGCATAGATGAGGTACAATGTCTGCCTCCCTTAGGTCGAAGCGATCACGTTGTACTTCAATGGGACTATTCAATCTTTTCCGTGCCTGAACAGCCCACCAAAATTAGAAGAAATATTTGGCGTGGGGACTTCGATCAAATGAAGGCCGAAATCAACAATACGGACTGGGAATCAGCGTTTTCCGGAAATATAGAGGAGGATTGGAAATGGTTCAGTGAATTATTGCATGCTCTCCTGACAAACCACTGCATGCTGTCACGGAAGGGGCTAAACAATCGACCCCGGTGGCTGACCCAGGCGTTAAAAAAGGAAATAAATAAAAAACGGAGATTGTGGCAGAAATCTCTTACTGATGGGACTCCTGTATCCATAAACGCATACAAAATACAGAGGAACTTAGTCAAGCGGCTGACCCTCAGGACACGGCAAAATTTTGAAAAAGACCTATTGAATCGTGCTATGGAAAATCCAAAATTATTCTACAGCTACATAAGAAGCAGCACACGAAACAGAGATCCAATCCCCCTCCTGAAGACTAGCGGAGACGTAGAGATTAGTGAGGATGGAGAAAAAGCTGAGCACTTTTCACAATTTTTCAAATCCATCCTTACTAGTGAAAGTCCATTTACTCCCCCCGACTACGACTTCGATGAGGGTCCAAAAATTGAGTCTGTGTCTTTTGATGAAGCGACGGTTCGCAAAGAGCTAATGACGCTAAATGAGTCGAAATCACCATGTCCAGACGACATACCGCCTAAGTTACTGAAGGAGCTCGCTGCCGAACTAGCCAAACCATTGTCCATGCTTTTCCAAGCCTCGTTCGAAGCCGGCTGCTTGCCCGCCGACTGGAAATCTGCGCGGATCACACCACTGCATAAAGGAGGCAGCAAGGCCTCTGCAAACAATTACAGGCCAATTAGCCTCACTTCCATCTGCTGCAAACTCATGGAGAAAATAATCAAGCGAGGGCTGATGCGCTTCCTAGAGCAGTATAATTTATTATCTGATGCGCAGCATGGGTTTCGTAGTGGCAGGTCTTGCGTGACTAACCTGCTCAACTGTTTGGAACGTTGGACTCGGTCAGTTGATGAAGGCAGTGCGCTGCATGTAGTCTATATCGACTTTAAAAAGGCATTTGATAGTGTCTCACATCAGCGACTCCTGCACAAACTGAGCCGAACAGGCGTTAGGGGTAACCTCTTAAAATGGATTCAAAGCTTCCTGTTAGACCGTTGTCAAACTGTCCATGTCGGTGGCCAGATGTCGACGGGGGTTGTCGTTGAAAGCGGTGTTCCCCAAGGCTCAGTTCTTGGCCCTACTTTGTTCATCATTTACGTCAACGATTGCGTGAGTGAACTGGATTGTGGTGTCGCCATGTTTGCGGATGACATTAAGCTCTGGAGCGTCATTCGAACTGCAGATGACGAAGAGCATCTGCAGGCGAACCTAAATCGACTCCAACAGTGGTCAAAGGCCTGGCTTCTGCCGTTCAACGAGAAAAAGTGTAATATTCTACGAGTCGGCAGAGCTCGCTGTCCGAACCGTATGGCCTACTGCCTAAATGGTATACCACTGCAAGAAGTGGACTCGCAAAAGGACTTGGGAGTATGGATTACGACCTCGCTCAAACCCTCGCTGCACTGCACAAAGATAGCCAAGTCTGCAATGTCAGTCCTCTACCTTGTCAAGCGGGCTTTCTCTGCCTTTGACGAAGACTGCTTCGCTAAAGTCTTTCGAACTTTTGTGCGTCCGCAACTAGAATTTGCTATCCAAGCTTGGAGACCCTGGACCGCGAAGGACCTCAGCATCCTTGAAAGGGTTCAAAGGCGTGCAACGAAACTTGTGGCAGGACAGGGTTCCCTACCATATGCAACGCGGTTAGCTAACCTTCATCTCTTTCCCTTGAGTTACAGGCAGTTACGGGGTGACCTGATACAAGTCTTCCGTATCATACGCGGTCAGGACTGCAGCCTCGTACCGGGTGACTTCTTCGAGTTAGCAACCACCACAAATCTACGAGGCCATCCATTCAAACTACGTGTGACAGGGGCCAGACTGGACACACGAAAGTTCTTCTTCTCCAACAGAGTGGTAGAAGCCTGGAATGCCCTGCCTGTGGATGTCGTTATGTCTGCTTCCGTCGAGGTTTTTAAGAGGAAGCTGGATTTGTGTAGCAGTGTGCACTAAATTACCACCCCGATCTCTGTAACCTCGACAAATTCTGTTATTATAATACTACTTGCTATATTTCAGTAACATTTAAAATTGAACTTATTATTGTACCAACCCATCGCCTACGCTTACTGACATGCACATATGCAAATTTTGTCCCCGGACATATTATTTATTTCGCTGCACTCGAAACGACAGCTCTACAACTGCTCGTACCACTAAAATTCGAGACAGTTTGTTTGTCTGTACAGACCTGACGCTTTTCCGATTATTTGTTACTTTATGATACCTTTTCGAGTTTTTGAGATTTTGCAGTTGCTTGTAAACAAATAGGGAGTTCAAAGGTGAAGACCTACATTTCCCTCAATAAACTGAACTGAACTGAACTGTAAACGACAATAACCTCATCGATTTTTGGCATGTTTATGTCGTGGATTAATTCCATTTTGTATAATATCAAAATATTTATAGAAAGGGTAGGACACTTTTTCTTTGAAGCCTTGTTATTATCTCACCGTGTCCAGTATGTCAAGTAATAATAGAAAACACTTGGATAACCGCAACTGGCTCACGTACCAATCGTTATCTGCAATTTTTCTTTTTCATACTAATGGCAATAATGAAGGCTATTTTACAGGTTTCGTCATGATAAATATGCAATGCAGGTCGAGCAAACAGTGAAAATTCGTGAAGACGAATATTTTACTAAGGCGTCCGGTAGTCAGTCTTCTTCAGGAGAAAGGAACTGGATCCCGCTAAATGACGGCACCCCAAAGGAGTATTGTTGGCACTTGTGCAAGGGAGGTTTTCAATCTCCGTTTCATGTCATGAAGTTGGGGCTGCACCGGGCAAGCATGCATGGCTGGCCAGTTATCCGCCCTCAGCTGAAGAATTTGTCCGCTGAGTGGGGGTTGTATGTTCAGTGCCATTCCAGTCAGGATGAGGACATGCTTTACATAAATTATATTTCGGCAGCAGTTGAGCATTCTCAATCCTTTATTTATGCCGATGATCTCAAATGTGTACATTCTTTCAATAAATCTACGAGCCTTCATTGCCTGGAGCAAATCCATGCTGACTTGTTTGCTCTCTCAGCTTGTAGTTCAAAATGGCTAGTGGAATTCTCTCCGTTTAAATGTCGCTAAATGTGTTTTGGACCTGATAGGCTACCCCAACCAGTGGTCTTTCAAGGCACACCTACGACTGAATGTATCACCATCAAGGATTTAAGTTTAAGCTACACTAGTAATCTTGATCTCTCGCCACACGCTGACAGAACTACAGCCAAAACTGCCCAGATTTGTGGCTTTATTTCTTACATTTTCTATTTTCCTGAAATTACATTAAGACTTCACCGTATGTTTGTACTTCCCATTCTCGAGTATTGTTGTCCATTCTTTGGTTTGATGAATGAAACTAGTTATTTAAAAATTGAAAATGTCCAAAGACGTTTTTCTAAAAAACTTTTAGATAAGGAACATCCCAATATCTCATACTCAAATAGATGCCAGCTAATTAACCTAAAATTTTTATGGGTTCGAAGACAAGGAGCAGGCTTCTGTCTCCTCTTTCGCATTAATAATAGGTCATATCTTCCTCGGATTTCAGCACTCACCCCTAGTAGTAGCCCATACAGTCTTCGCAACTCGTCCTTGATTATACCTCCTCCAGCGTCCTCCACCTTTAAGCGTTCCCTTTTTTCGCTTACAGTTATACGTTCCTCTGGAATAACCTTCCAATAAATATAAGATCTTCAGAAAATCTACACACATTTAAGAGAAGACTACGCCTTTACCTGAATACTGATTCGATTAAACTTTTTTTCCGATCCTTCCCAGACAACTTTTTCTATGACACTGAGAAAGGGCCGCCGGGAATTTAGTATGCCGCCATTAAATTTCCGTATTCAGTTTATTCAGTTTATTTGGTAAGGATAATAGGCAAAGCCTTTGAAAACCCTATTGATTACATGTCAGCTCGTTAGAATAACTGTACACGAACAAAAAATGTTCACTATTAAAACAGTACTTGGTTCATTTGAGTAGCATTGTATCCGAGAAAATATTTGTCTGGACCAGGGGTATTAGTTCAGATTCAGACCGTCGAGGGAAAACAGGGGACACAAATAATCATCCAAGCGTTTCTTGAAGAGTTGCAGGGATGTAGCCTCCACGACTGACTGAGGGAGATCGTTCCATTTCTCCACTACCCTCTGCGTGAAAAATTCAGAACGGAGATTCAGCCTGGACATTGTTGTCCGTAACTTCATCGGGTGACCACGAAGATTGGGTGAAAGGTGCCACTGAAACATGTCCTCAAATTTAAGTCCATACTCAGGGCCATGTATTATCTTGTAGACGAGGATAAGATCACCTCTTTGCTGCCTGTAACACAGAGGGAATAAATTAAGGTAATTCAGTCTGTCTGTGTAGGAATGGCTTTTTAGACCGTTTACCAGCTTTGTTGCACGCCGTTGTACCCGTTCGAGGCATTCTTGGTCCTTTACCAGCCATGGCCGCCATGCTTGTATGCCATATTCTAAGTGGGGCCGAACAAATGTGCCGTAAACTCTCCCAAAAAGGTCTTGGTCAAAATTTACGAAAGCCGTTTTTATTGCATGCAGCACTCCCATGGCGTTTTTTGCAGCCTTGTGGCACTGCAGTGTTGGTTTCAGGTTGTTCTGTATCCAAACCCCGAGATCCTTCTGTGAAGATTCTGCGGGGAGCCTTATATCTTTCAGGTGATAAGTCCTCAGACTCTCATTTGAATGAGAGTTGGT